TTTCTCCTGGAGGTTTCCTTGGAGAAATGGCCGCTCTCCTCCGCCATCCTAACTAGCTGGCGCACTCCTCTACTCTCCCTCCCGACCCCCCAGGGCAGGGCTCCCTTTGTAATTAATCCCAACACTCCAACCAGAGGGGAGGAAAAAGTGTTAATGACGGATCGTCCCAGACTGACTGGGCGGTCGCGGCTCGCAGCTAGAACACCGGGTAATTAAATTATTTTTGGAGGGGTGTGTGTGTGTGTGTGTGGTGGTGATAGTGTCAGGGAAATCCCCGTGTGGCTGGGAAGAGGGGCGCGTGTCTTGACACTAATTAAAATCAAGGATAACCCTCCCCTCTCGCAGCTCTAGGGGGGAAAAAAAAATCAACCTTCCCACGTCTCGGATTCCATTGGATTTCGTGCGGCCGGGTTTGAGGCCCTGAAGAGAATACAGCCAGCGCCCGGGGTCTGGGGGCTCCGTCTGCGACCTGGCCGAGGGGGTCGAGGGAGTCAGCCCCAAGAGGGGCTGCGGGCTGGGCCCAGGCCGGGAATTGAGGAGCCCCTTCCCCAGCCTGCCTACAGCTCAGGGCCGCGGTCGGGACCCCGCCGAGCCACCGAGCACCCGAAGAGAAGGGCTGGGGCGAGGCGACTCCGGGAACAGCGCGGCCGCAGACAATGGACGCGCGGCGGGAGGGGCGGCTTCGGCGGGAACAGCCGGGAGGCGGCGCCCGGAGCGCGCGCTCCCCGCCCCCTGCACCCCCTCCCGGCCCCTCCCCTCGCCCCTCCCCCTCCGTCGCCGGCTCGCGATCCGATTCCTGATCCCTGATTCCTCGATCCTTGGTCCCGCCATGGGAGTCTGAGCACCCTCCATCCGCTCCCCCCGCCCCCTGGCCCCGGGGCCTTGAGGGGGACGAGGCGAGCGGTTTGGGACGGAGCAGGGGGTGAGCAGAGTCGGGAGCCCCCCTCGGCACCCCCACTAGCCCGCACTGTCGATCCAAGCTCGGAGTTCCGAGAGACCCGGAGTGCTGCGGATACAAAGGCGCCGGGCCGAACGGAGCGCCCGCCGAGCCCACCCGGCGGTTCGCAGCGGCGGGTGAGTGCCGGGCCGTGGGGGTGCAGGCAAAGTTTGCAAAAAAAAAGAAAAAAGAAAAAAAAAAGGAAAGAAAGGAAAAACCAGAAGCAGAAAATGAAGACCATCATGCAAGGGGCCAAGAGGTGCCCGGCCCTGGAGCGAGCGGGGAGGCTTATGGGGGAAGGGGGGCTCGGCGCAACCCCCTTCCGGTCCACTCGCCCACCGCGGCGCGGAGTGCCCCCCAACTTTGGGGAGGGGAAGGGGTGCGTGGGGAGGGGGCGGAGCCCAGGCCTGGAGAGCCGGGGACTTTCCTCAGCCTGGGGCTCCTGTGGGGGCCTTAATGATCCTCAGGGAGCGGGTTGGAGCCCGAGACCAAGCTTGTGTTGAAGGGTAGGGGAAGAGCCAGTGGAAGGACCGAGTCTGGAGGTACTGGCAGCCAAGGTGTTTCGGGGTGCATGCATGTATTGGAAGTGTGGGGAGAGACGAGGACAGGTATGCGTTCAGGGTGCAGACTGAAGCCTGGGGAACCGGCTGGGGACTGTAGAGGGGGTGTGTGTGCAGCGCGAAGGTGGAGCTGGGGGTTGGAGAACCGGACACCTTGAATGGGGCCGAGGGGCCCGGGGCCCGCATCCCTCTCTACACTCCTGTTTACCCATCATGTTTACCCGTGGGCTCTGCGTTAGTGAGTTTTAAGGGGCTGCTGGAGGATCAGGGTGCATGATTCTTTGTTTTTGTGTGTGTGCGCGCCTTGACGCGCTGCGTGTTCCTGCAGGTGGGCCCCGGGGTCTGCTGCATGTGTAGGTGTGTTTCGGTGCTTGAGTGTGTGTGCACCCAGGGAGCGGCAGACCACTCATCTGCTGGGTGTTTGTATTTGTATTTGTGTGTATGTGCAGGGGAAGGGGTGTGTGTCTGTGTGTGTGCTGGAAGAGGGGCTGATGGGAAAGAGGTGGATGGATACTAAGAAAGGTGGGTGTGTATGAGCAGAACGGGGTATATGGTAGGTGTGTGTGCACCTGTGTACTGGGAAAGGGTATGAGTAGATCTGTGTTCTCCGGTGTGAGATCTGTGCTGAAGAGTATCCATGTGTGTACCTGCCTCAGCTGTGGGGTGTGTATTTCGGAGTGTGTGTTGGGGGTACCTCTTGTCTCTGCAGGCATATTTTCCTGGCAGGAAGCCCATAGGGAAGGGTGTCTGCAGGATTCTGACGCTTTTTGGATGGCCCTGCCTGGGCTCAAGGGTAGTACCTGGAGTATGGGAGACAGACGGCGGGGAGGGGTGTTTTGGCAGGTGCCTGCTTTGGAAGAAGATGGGTTTTTCGGTTGTTTGTAGTCCTACAGGAATTTGGGGGATTGTAGGAGCTAGGGATCGGAGTAAGAGGAGCTGGAAGAGGCCACATACTTGGCTTCCCTGTCTCTGTGCAGCCCGGTCCGGTCACAGTTTTCTTGGACTGCTGTTTTGGAGCTGACTGCTTCAGTCTCCTCCAGCTCTGCCCTGCCTCTGGGGTCCCCAGATTCCTGAAGAGTCTGGATTCTGGTGTGGGGTGCGGGGAGAGGCAGCAGCATCACTAGAGGAATAAGACTCAGTAGGGAGAGCCTGGGTCTCCTGTGCACGGTGCTGAGATGTTGGCATGGAGGTGTTTCTTCAGGAGTTTTGTGTTTCTGTGTGGTGTATCACACAAGTCCTGTTTTCCCTGGTGAGAGGCTTGATTAGGATGGAGATGTGTGTGAGCTTTTGAGAGGGCAGGTGTTGGTGCGGTGGGAAGGGGTCTGTATTCATTGGTGAGGTACTGTGGTAGGCAACAGTATGGATGTCCTTCTCCCTAGTAGCTGCCATGTTTCTCTTTTGGGGTGAAGGGAAGGAGCACCTGGCATCTCCATTAGGTCACAAGGCTTGTTCCTCTGCTGCATGCTTTCAGCCATTTCTCTTTTGCTGGTTAGATTGAGACACAGAGTTTTAAGAGCTGAGGCTGTGATTGTACATGCCCATTAGGGTCTCTGGGCAATGGAATTGGAATGTTAGAGCCTCTACTGGGCATGTGCAGTTGGAATGCCCCTTCTTCAGTCCTGGAGGCTCCGTACCCTTACTAAGATTCAGGAATAAGAGCAGTGAGGGTTGGACAGTATTAGGACTAGGGATAGGAGCAGAGCAGGAAAAGACAAGATTTTCTTCCTTAAAAATGCTTGATTCCTTCAATCAGGACATCTGTTGGATGCTTAGCATTGTCAGAGCTAGCCAGGCATTTGTGGCTAGGATGACGTGGTCTAGCTTTCTAGGGTACCTTGTTGGCTGTGTGTACATTCGCCACGTGCATATCATCTTGGTGAGTGCACTTTTCCAGGGCAGAGGAACTGTGGTCAGACAATAGGAAGTGTCATTTCAGAAAGTACTTCCAGAGGGGGACCCACTGGCCACATCGGCCCCTCCTCCCCCATTGTTTTGCTCCTGCTTTTTATTTCCTCTAATTCTTCAGGGCAGGCCTCTCTGCTGTGTCTCCTCTAATTTTCCTGTGTCTGAGGACAGAGTCTCCTTTTCCTGGAGCAAGACAGACTTTATCCACTCCTCTGGAGGCAGAGGTCTGGGGCTCCCCTAGTCCCCTCTGAGTTCTAGATTCTCTGGTCTTCTTTGCTCTCTCTTTCTTTAACAGCTTCCCACAGTGTGAGGCCAAAGAGAGGAGTCAGATTTGGTTGGAATAAATACTTAAATAACAGTGTGACCTTGGGCAAATTATTAAACCCTATTCCTGAGCCTCGAAGGTGTCTTAAGGCACCGACTGAACCCATCCATAAGGAATCCCAGTTCCCCGTCGTCTCCTTCCTTGGTTTCAGCTTGCTCTTGAATTCTGGCTTTGCCACTTCTTAATGCTATGACCTCAGATGAAATATGTAACTTTCCTCACCTGTGAAATGGAGTTAATAATAGGCTACACCTCTTAGGATCATGAGGAGCCAATGAAATAATCTGGACAGGGCAGTCTGTGTAGTAGTGCTCATGGGAAGCATCGGTAAAGGTTAGCTGGAGTGGTTTGGATTTTGCGTGGTGGCCACTGTAAGGGAGAGAGGTGAGGGTAGTGTCGTGTGAGAGCTGGGCTTTAGTTCTGTCCTCCTTTGGCTGACCGGGTCAGGCACTGCCTCTGTGTTCCAGGTGCTGTGCAGAGCACAGGGGATGGAGGGGGCAAATAAGACAGGTTTTCACCAGAGAGATGTGCACGAACATGTTGATTTCCTGTAACCCTGTGAATGCTGTGTAGAGGTGTGTTCTGGAGTCCCCTGGAGCATCGAGGAACCGTGCCTGGCCCTGGGGTGGGGTATTAGGGAAAGTTCCTCAAGGAGATATGCTTTTAGCTGGCTTAAAGAAAAAAACCCATGAAATAAATTCACATAACATAAAATTAACCATAAAGTGCATAATTCATTGGTGTTTAGTACATTCACAGTGTTGTACGCCCATCATCTCTGTCTAGTTCCAAAACATTTTCACCATCCCAAAAGGAATCCTGTGCCCTCTAGGCTTTTGCTCCGGGTTTCCCCTGCCTCAGTCCCTGGCAACTGCCAGTCCACATTCTGTCTATGTGGAATCACCTATTCTGAATATTTCGTATACATGGAGTCCTGTGTTGTGTGTCCTTTTGTGTTTGGCTTCCTTCACTTAGTGTAATATTTTCAGGCTTCATCGCATTGTAGCATGCATCGGTGCTTCCTTCTTTTTAATGGCTGAGTAATATTCCACTGTATGGCTATATCTTAGCTGGATTTTAAAGGGAGGGAAGGGACTGAAAGGGCACTGCCCGTAGAGGCTAAGCATGAGCAAGATGGAGCATGGGGTGTTTGGCGAAGCTGGTTTTTTTTTTTTTTTTTTTGGTTTGTGTTTTTGTTTTTTGAGACAAAGTCTTGCTGTCTAGTTCAGACTAGCCTTGAACTCACTAGGTAGCTCATTGTGGAATTCACAGTGATCCTCCTGCCTCAGCCTCCCAAGTGCTGGGATTATAGGTGTGCGCCATCACACCTGGTTGGTGCTGAAGTGTGATTTGGTTTGGCCTCAGTTTCTGTAGTTATAAAACACAGTTAATGATCCCTTTCCTTCCTACCTTGTCCTGTGGGGTTGGTGGAGGTGGAGGTATTAGGGGAAAGGAGAGTCTGGGATATCATTCCTCATCTCAGGATATATATGTATATATATATGTTTTAATGTGCTCTTTCCTCTCTCCTGGCAGCTCCCTCCTGTATGCCCCTACCTTTCTCCCTGTGTGAGCTCGCCTTCCTGCTTCCCTTGGCAACAGCGTCCCCTCTCTGGCTTGATCTGAAATTTCTCTTCTTGCCCTGTCCAGGTGGGTAGTGTGCTGAGCATGGTGAGGTTTTGGCAGCCGAGGTGAGGGGAGGGGCTGGGAGCGAATCCTCCTCACACTGTCCCTGTTGCTTTCCCCTTCTTCACGCTGTCCCTTGGTGTTCAGCCTTGGGCAACCCCCTGTCACCACCTCTGCTGGGACCTGGCCTGTAATGAGCCCGGGAGAATCTTTGTAGCTGCCTGTCCCACATTGCTTGCTACAGAGTAGGAGGCAGAGGCCTCTCTGGGGGGCCCTTTGGAAATGAGGTGTTCCCCTGCCTGCCTGGTGCGCCTGGCGCGGTTGGTAATTACAGATAAGACAGCTGGGAACAGGCTGGGGAGGAACAGGCCCGGTGTGAGCAGAGCTGGGGCTATCCTGGTGATCAGGCTGGGGCGGGAAGAGGGGAGAGTGGGAAGAAGCTGGGGTCCAGGGTGGGGCGGGAGGCCTGGCACCCCCGACCCCACGCCACACAGTCTAGAGAGGAGCGGGAGGTAAGGCCCAGCCTTGCCATGAGGAAGGAAGGGAGTGGAGCCAGGCTGGAGGATTCAGGAGCCCCCAGGGAAAGGAGCAGAATGCACGAAGAGGGATTTGTCTGCTCTCTCAGATCTTGGACAAGTTCTAAGTTACGGAGAAGCCAACAGCTCACCCAGCGGTGACTATCTTTTTGTGGGTGGGGTCTCACTTCCCACTGTGAGGTTATGGGAACGGGAAGTGGAGAGGATTGACTGTGTGAGCCCTAAAGAAGAAAGAGGTAAGGGCTCACATTTTGTTGAGCATCTAGTATGTGCCAGATGCTGGTATTATGCATACATGATTACATTGAAAACTTTTCCCATTTTAAAGAGGTTTAGGAGAAGCGAACCCCTCATCAAAGATTACATACCTCATAAAAGGCTCTGCCAGGCAATCTGGCTTTCTTGGTCTGCCTAAAGTGCTCTCTTTACCTTTCCTTGCTCTCCTCCAGGTTAGATCTGATTGCTCATTATTACCTTTAATCCTGAACTTGAATCATTCCCCTGCCCCTGCAAAGCAGACATGAGTCTAGATGTCAGCTGAAGAGGAGAAGCGTCTGCCTCTGAGGGCCTCAGGGAGGAGTCCAGCCTGTAACTTGGCCAGAAGCCTTTTCTGGGGCTGCCCCTTCTTCCTGGTGGGCCACTGTTGGGGCCAGGCTGTGGGAAGGGAGTGACTGTAGGCCCCACCCTGTAGCCCGGGGGTCTTGTGACGAGGAGGCCCTCACTGGCTGTAGGGTTTTCCTGCAAAGCCCCAACCCCCAGCTCTTGAGACCCCCCACTCTCACCAGTGCATGGCTCCTCCCGCCTGGCCAGAAGACAGAAGGTGTTTGTGTGTGGGTCAGGGTGGGTGGGGTGCTCTGGCTTTTTAGGGTAGGGGAGGGTTTGGGGCAGGAACAGGTGCTGAACCTGGGGTGTGAATGCAGTAACTTAAAAAACAACTGAGTGTGAACAGAAACACATATTTTGTCACCTGCTTTACTCCAGGAATGGAGTGGCAGATCGAAGGGATGGGGGAGTTGAGAATCCTCAGGAGTGCGAAGCTCGAAGCTCGTGGTGGGAGGGGGAGGTTGTCAGAAGGGTTGATTGGCAAGTGGGCCTTTCAGCTGGCTCAGTTTTCCTAGATAAGGACGGCTGATTGGTCAGACCTCAGGCCTGCTGAGGTGGGAGGAGGAAGTTTTATGGGGAAACCCAGGCCGGCCGCCCTCAACCACCTCGTCTCACAGTCTGAGGCTCGCTCTGCTGCTGTCCCCACACAATCCAGCCTTGGTGACAGTGTCCCATATGTTCTTCCACACGCCTTCCTCGAGCCTCAGCTCTTCCCATCCACACGCCAGCCTAGGGACAGCCAACTTCTCCTTCCGGAGTAGCTGCTTCCCACCTCCCTGTGCCTCAAGGAAGGGGCTGGGTGAACAGGGACAGTTGGAGCTTCCTAGGACAGCAGCCTACGAAGAGAAGAGAAGGAGGCATTTTGTTGGAAATATAGAGGAAGTTGGCCTCTGGGCGAACACAGCTCACCCACCTCCTGTTGTCCACTTTCTTTCTGTCCTAGGGACACCTTGAGGCACCTGTTTTCCTTCTTGGTTCTTCTACAGCTCACCTGGTGGGCAGGGAGGGGCTGGTCCTCTGCCCCAGGCAGGGAGGAAGCAGCTCAAAGCCCTGTGGGTGGGGATTGTTGATGAAAATTAAATACAGCACTCTAGTACCCAGAAGCCTCAGTCACCCTCCCACCAGCTTAGTGTCCTGTCCCCCCTCTGGCCTCACCTGGGGCAGGTGCCAAAGGGATTACTCACCTTTTCTCTTGCAGCTTCTGACTCCTGTTCCCTCTGAGCTTAACTAGGAATGGGTCTGGGGGTAGTAGGATGCTATCGGGTACATGTGTGCTCATACATGCACATGCGCAGGTGTGCTGTGGTGGGGGCAGGGACTTCAGCGAGCTGGAGTGGGGGTAGGGGTGCCAGACAGACAGCAGAGCAGGTCTCTACAGAACCTGCCTAGCCAGGGTGGGTGGAGCTGGGTGGGGCAGGCAGGAGCCATTCCAGTTCCAGAGGGGGAACATCAGTGTAGGTGTGTGCACTTGTGTGTGTATGTGTGTGTGTGTTTCGGTGTGTTTGTGGATTAGGGGTGTACTCAGCCTCACCCTTTGCCCTAGAGTGAGGGAAACTGAGGAACTCGGTAGAGCTCCCTTCTACTAGCGTGGAGCCCAGGTACCCGGGTACTCAGGTACTCTCCCCTGCCCCTGCACTGCGGTCCCGCAGTGAGAGGCTGCTCCGGAAGGCCCTATGGTTGGGTGACCCGGCGCACCCCTCCCCCTGCTACTCACCCATGAGGAGAAGGATCCTGCCCCCACCCCGGGGCTGTGAGGATGGTGAGCTCATGTCTGGGCTGTCCTGGGAGAGTGCCTCGTTACCAGCGGGGGTGGGGCACCTGGTGCCAGCTCTGGGCTCCCTGGTGCTGCGTTTTCTAACCCTCAGCCTACTGAGATCCAGCTGTTCTTTCTGGCCTCATGGACAGCACTGTCACGTCAGGTCCCCGGGGCCAGGAATGAGGGTGGGTAAAATTTCAATCCTACTTTCCGTTCAAGGCTTGGGAGCCAAAGCCCACTCTATCTTCCTTCTTTTTATAGCAGAAAATCCCCCCCAGCATGGGCCCATGGGGATGGGTGGCTTTTGCACTCGAGAGGCTGAGGGGGATGAGTGATGCACAGCAAGGTTCTTAGTCGGGAGTGATGGGAAGCTGAGTGCAGCCTTTGGTTAGGGCTGTGTTTGTTGGCTTAGGCCTGCTGCGTCTCTGATCCCTGTCACTGGGGAGACGTAGGGACATAGGGCAGGAGTCGGTAAATTCTCCCCTTTCTTTGCTTTCTTGTCATGTTGGCTATTTAAAGAACTCAAGTCCAGAAGGAGACTCGTGGAAGAGCCCGAGGTCCCACTCCAAGAGAAGCACACCTCAGAGTCATCGCATTAGGTTTCCTCCCTGTAGCAGGGGCTGCTCTGGAAGTAGTGACTAGGCACGAGTTATTTGCCTTCCTTGGGCCCCACCTGTTCATCTGTAAAACTTGGGGTTGTACTTTCAAGGTACAAGAGAAGTGAGTGGGTCAATCCACTGTCTCTTGGAAGGAGGAGACAGGAGCAAGGGGAATGATGTGGTGGAGGCCTCCCTGTCCTCTACGGAAGGAAGCCATATTAGGTGTCTGCATTTCCTCGGCCTGTCAAAAACCTTGAGTCCCCTCCCACCACTGCTGACTGGGATGTCTATGTCAAGCTCATCTGTGAAGCTCAGGGAATAGTATAGCAAAGGAGGAAGACAAGCAGGGCCCGGAGTGCCCTTCATAGCTGTGAATCGCTGCTCTGCCCTATGTGAGCAGCCTTAGGACTTCATGGGGTGTTCTGTCTCTGGGCAGATGTCTAGCTCTTTGGACACCGAACTGGGAGGTTGAACATCTGGCTTGTTTCCTGGCCCCATCTCTCCCCTAAAGTGGGCGCCCAGCACTTTGAGTGGAGCATACGTTAATATGCTTGCGTTGGGGCTGTGATTAGTGTGGCTGGGGGTGCCCACGTGTACCTCTCAGCTTGAGTGGAGAAGGCGTTTCAGGCATGTGCACAAGACCCAGGCTCTCCCGTAGGAATCAGAGGCCTTAAATGGGCAAGGGTTCACAAACCCTCTTTAGGAAGGGTCTGAAGAGCTAATCCAGCCCATTCCCTGTGTTCCTGACCGAGGACAGGAAAGGGGTCTGCCAGAGATCTCCCCCTGTCAGAGGTGAACTTTTTTTTGAGACAGGGTTATACTGTGCAGCTCAGGCTGGCCTTTAACTCACTTTGTAGCCCAGGCTGGCCTGGAACTCACAGGGATCCTCCTGCCTCAGCCTCCCAAGTGCTGGGATTACAGGCATGTACCAGCACGCCTGGTGATAGAACTTCTGGCTTCTTGTTCTTTCCCACCTTCTTCCCCTCTCTGGCTCAGGTCTTTTCTAACATCACACTGAGGTGCCCCTGCACCGCTGCCTGGTATTTCCAGTCCTGTACTCCATAGAGGCATGGAACAATTGTGACTGCTTTAGGTACACTTTCGAGTTCTGTCCTTTACCTTCCCTGCCTCCCTTTCCTTTGCCGCGTCATCCTGGCTCCTACAGTGTTTCTCCTGGCCTTGTGCTCTGCCTCATTTCCCACCCTGAGCCTAATGCAGCTGGTGCTGGGCGGCTGGGTGCGCCAGGGCCTGCAAAGAGGTGGTGACCACAGCCACTGGGGCCTGCTCATCTGTCCCCAGCACACACTGCGCATGGGTTACTTGTTTCTGTGTCCCCTTGAGCTGCTCCTGTGAGTAGAGGAGTGGGGAAGGGTCAGTCCGTTCTGGTCTGTGTTTTGGCCACCCCCAACCCCACCATACATACATATACCCCAGGGCCTTGCTCCCTCTGCGCTTGTCAGGGTTTGAATGTATTTTTTCCAGAGGGCTCCAATTGTTTCCTGAAGAAACCTGATCTGGAGTGCAGACAAAAGCTGGGGCTGCCAGAGGAGAAACCCCATTCTCTCTCTAACCCTCTGTCCTTATTCCCCCCTTCCCCACCTCCATAACCTCTCTCGCTTTGGATTCTGGGTATGGGTTCCAGTGCCTGGCTGCTATCACCTAGGCAACCGGGGGCTTTGGTTACCATGGTGATCAATGTGGGAGAAGCTGGGCAGCGGGGACAAAAGCCCCCACATTCCCCCCAGCCCTCCCCTCAATCCCCTTGGGATGATACTGAGACACATTCCATTAATTTTATTTCTGAAAGGCCTTTGGAGGGGAGAAGGGTCTCTTTTTTGTGCTGGGCTCTCTCTTCCTTCCCTCTCCCCTCTCTGGCCTCCTTTTAACCCCAGATAATCCATGGCTGGTTTGAGCAGGGCCCTGAGTGCCTGTGTTGTGTCTTGGGAGTAAGGGGTGAGGTGAGAAGCCGTGGATATGCTCCCTTTTCACAGCCTCCCACACCCCCGGCCCAGTGTAGCTCAGCCTGTGCCAAGCCTGGGCTTCTCTCCCCACTTCGTCACCCCTCTGACATTTCCACTTGTTGAGCTCATCCACTGCTCCCCTCCCCCGCTCTTCCCTGGGAACACTGCCCACCCGGGAGACCCTCCAAAGCCCTGAGTCCTGGGATGGGGGCTTCTGCCTTCTCTCTGTACCCCTCCTCCTCTCAGCCTCTCCAGTGCTTGGATTAGTTTCCTAGGGCACTGCAGGGGGCAACAGGCAAGGATCTCAGAAATTGGGCTCATTTTTGGCCCCTGTGTTCGGTAGGGGATGGAGGAGCATGTTTTGGTGTGTTTTGAGACCTGTGACTTCGGTTGTCAGGCCAGGGATGCAGGTTTGTGCTGGGTCTTTTTTTTTTTTTTTTTTTTTCCCCCCGATACCAGGAATTGAACTCACGAGCTCACACTCGCCAGGCAGGTGCTGTGCCACTGAGCTAAGTCCCCAGCCCCCTGTGCTGGGTCTTTAATAAGCAGCTAGAGGGGAAGGTGATGGCTCCGGGCTGAGCAGCTCAGAACAAAGTATTGGAGGGGACTGGTACCTTCATCTGGCTTGACATTTATCTGTGGCATCGGCTTACTTCTCAGTGTGTTTAAAGCCATAGTTCTGTATAGGATGTGTGTGTGTGTGTGTGTGTGTGTGTGTGTGTGGCTTCTTTATTTAGTCATACAAATAGCAAGATTTATTTATACCACCTCTTTCTCTAGTCTCAGAAGAAGTGTCTGGGGACTGGAGTGTGAGAGATCTCCTGGAGCTAGAGCTTATTAATTGCTTAACTGATTACTAGCTGCAAAGTTTGTAAAAGCGCTTCTTTCACCCCCGTGATTCTTACAGCAACCCCACCGAGTAGGTGTCATGACCTTCTCTGTTTTACCAGTGAGCCTACCCTGCTACCCACGAGTGCTGAGAAGTTAAGTAACTTGCCTGGGATCACACAGCTAGTTCATGGGCGAGGCAGAGTCAGAACTCAGACCTTGGTGTATAAATCCCAGTCTTTTTGCTGCCGCTCTGGCAGATGTGGGCATTCAGGGTGGTAGCGAGGAGATGGAGGGTGTGGGTTCTAGTGCCTGTGCAGTCTGGAATATACTTGTCTTTGAGCTTCACTTTTTAAGAGGAGCACCAGAGAGAATAGGCTGGAACCACATCAAAAGTGATGCAGGTGAGACATCTGAACTACACAGAGGAGTAACGGGCAGCGTGGGTTTAGCGGAGAGTGGTGCAGGGACAGCTGGGGGTGAATGTGGGTCCTGTTTGCAGCAAATTGCTGAGAGAGGTTCTGAGTTGGGTTGAGATACTATGTCTCTGTCCCCTAAGCATGTCCCTGTCACACACTTGTTTTGACATGGGCGTGTGGACAAACATCCCTGACCCATGGATTGCCTCCAGATAACTCTTAGGAGGATAAATGAATGGATTTCACAGCCGTTATATCGCTCTACACTTGCAGTTGTGTTGATAGTCACACAGGCATATTCATTTACTTGGTGTGTATCAGTTACTCATTCTGTGCCCACAGGAGGGGAGATGGATCCAAATATATCGCAGTCATACTGATTATTCTCAAGTTGCTGATGGTTTAGAGAGGTGGAGAAAAGTTAACTCTCCAAAGCAGTTCAGCTTAGCTCTTTATGTAACTGGCCTCTCAGCAGCATTTGACCTGGTTGACTGTAGTCCTCCTTGAAATGCTCTTGCATCCTTGGCTGCCCTGAGGCCCCACTCTTCTGGTCTGTTGCTCACCTGGTCTTTCCTTCTCCTCCCCTAAGCCTGCTTTTTCCTCTGGATGCATGTGCATTTTGGAATTCTTGGTCCCTTATGTAGTCCTTTCCCAAGGTGCTCTTCTTTTGTTGCTGTTTTTTTGAGACCAGGTCATTTTTCATAGTCCAGGCTGGCCTAGAACTCATAGTGATCCTCCTGCCTCAGCCTCCCAAGTGCTGAGATTATAGGCACATGCCACCATGCCTGGTGTCCCGAACTGATCTTGATAGCTCTTTCCATTGTCCTTGAGATATAGAGGATTGAACCTAGGGCCTTCACACCAAGCCACACCCTGTCCTTTTTGGAGATGAGGTTTCTTTTTTTTGTTTTTTGTTTTTTGTTTTTTGGAGACAGAGTCTTGTATGCAGTGCAGGTTGGCCTTGAGCTACTTTGTGGCCCAGGCTGGCCTCAAACCCACAACAATCCTCCTGCCTCAGCCTCCTGAGTGCTGGGATTACAGGCGTGAGCCACCACGCCCACCCAGAGATGAGGTTTCAATAAATTGCCTAGGCTGAGTTTGAACTTTCAATCTTCTTGCCTCAGCCTCCTAGAGTGCTGGGATTATGGACATGTGCCACCATGCCTAGCTCGGTTCACATTCTTCTGAGTCCAGCTTCTCCCAAACCCAGCTGCCCCTGCTTCTAAGCCATGAGCTTCACAGTGGGAAACAAAACTCGCCATTTTCCTCCCCAAATGTGCTTCCCTCTCATTTCCTCTGACCTTCCTTAGGGTGTGGTCATCTTCTCCTTTACTCAGGCGGGGACTCTACTGCTCCCCTCCACCTCAGCCAGTCCTTAGTCCTTTCCCTAGATCTCGTTGATTCTGCCACCAACCTCTGTCTTAAACATGACCATTTTTCACCTGTCCCGTACATCTGCCCCAGCCAAGTCATCACCACAGTTCCTTGCTGAGCTCTGGCTTTCCCCCTTTCGCTGCATTCCTGTCTTGATCTTTGTAGCTAAAATAGGTTTCCTATTGCGGTAGACTAAAACCTGGCTCTTCCCTTGGCCTCTAGCCCTCTCCCGTCCTCAGCTCTGGTCCCCCAGCCTCTCTCACTGTTGAAATGCACAGAGCTCTTTCCTGCTTTTCGTCTTCCTGCGTATGATTCCACAGCTCTGTGGACTTTTCCTTCCTCCCATGGGCCTGCTCTCAGGTATCGTTTGTGCAGAGACTTCCCAGAACATTCAGTTTCTTTTATTTTAAAAAGTTTTATGTTTATGAGTATGTGTTTGCAGTACATAATAATGACATTCATCATGGGGAGTTGGTCCATGTACACAACACATCTTAATTCTTTATATGTCCCTTTCCTCTCCCCTCTCGCCCCCAGAACACCCAATTTAAAGCAGCTCAGCAAAGTTGTCTGTCGTGGTTTCCTGTCCTTTTGCTTCCTTCATGCTGACGTGGTCATTCATGTTTATCTGTTTACTTGTTTTGTGCACATCTTTTCATGAAGGCTTTGTTACAAGGCTGTGTACCCAGGGCCTAGTGAAGTGTGTGTTCATAGAAGGTGCTTAAAATGGGTTTGGTGAATCAGTGAATGAAGATAGGAAGTAAGTGTGTGCAGTGCATGGTAAAGACTGTTAGTGGGATTGGTGTAGTGGGGAGACAGTCCCGTATGTCAGAGGCTCCTGTGGAGGTGGGCTGGGATCTGAAGAGTAATGGGTGGATTTGAGGCTGCTCCTCAGCCCATAAGGAGCCAAATAAATCTGTGCCTTGCCTATTCCAGGACTGTAGGCTTTTGGAAAATGGTTTTACTTATCCTTTATTCCTCCCTTCACTGTGTGTGTGTGTGTATATATATATA